CCTGATTTTCCACTTAATTAGCAGGATGCTCTGGGAGGTAGGGCAGGTGATGTAGATAGCTGGCAGCCATGTCAGTGGTTAAGAAATCGCCTGAGTGAAGCTAGGCAAGGGCTAACACTCATTTTTTATGCATGCACATGGCAGCCCTGAAATGATCTCCTTGAGCACAAAGCTGGACATTTCTTACCTTTTGGAAAGGTTACAATTTTGACTAGCTGTTGGCCTAGCACTTCCTCGGTTACTTTATACATCTCGAATTGTGACTTTTGACGTCTGGCAAAGAGTTCTCTCAGACCTGTTGTTTCAGTCTGGAAGAGCTGTTGTGGACAACTGGGAACCTCCCTCCAGCATCTGTGTGCCTTAGTCATGCTGGATGGCACAGCCTTTGTATCCTTGAAGATTCTGTTGAAACAGACTGAGAACTCCACTTCCCAGGATGGCAGCACAGGATCTCTTTGTGGCTTCTGAACCAGTAACATACCGGGACCATTCCACTGAAATTACTTTGGTCTCTTGGCCTCACCCACTCCTGCCAAGATTCCAATCTGATATTTTGGAGTATGGCAAGCTTCAGAATTTTATGACCATTCAGGGCTCATGTATCCTCCACTCGTCCTTGTTCTATCTGGTCAGCCCTAACATGAACTCTCTATTTATTAGATTAACATCCCACCTTTTTCTTTTTTAAAGAACTCAAGGTGGCTTACATCATTCCCCTCCTTCTGGTCTCAGGCTTATTCCCATAACAACAACCCTGTGAGGTAGGTTGGGCTGAGAGTCTGTAACTGGCCTAAAGCCACCCAGCTGACTCCATGGCTAAGCGGGGACTAGAATCCAGGTTTCCTGAGTTCCAGTGCAACACTCTAACCACTACACCACACTGGCTCTCTAGTAGTAGCCTCTAATAGCTCTAGTAGCCTCTGGTGGCCCTGGAAATCCAGACGGAACCAGTAAGGGTCATAGAACAGCTAATTCCCTCAGACTCCCCACTGTGCAGCTGCACAGGTATTTTTATCTTGTCAAGGAAAAGACCATCTGTAACCTCTTTTTAAACAGAAGTATTCCTCCTGCCCAGCACTGAAACCTTCAGCATTTCAACACACTCAGTCTTTTGCTTTGGGAATGAGTTACTTGAGCCCAAGAAAGGGCAGCTCTGGCAGCCCTGTCCTATTTTCAGGAGGTCCTTCCTTGCAACATGGATCCTTCAGCTCTGCACCCGCTTTTCCAGCACGTACGTGTGTTTCTAAATGCGCAATTTGATCTAATTTTAAACCATACATGTTGGGATTCGAGGCACTTCAGTAGAAAGGTTCCCCTGGCCATCTAGTGGGAAGAACTGCAGCTGACATGGCCAGTGCCTTCGTGTGTTTCCTCTCTGTGCTTACACCAGTCAGCCCAAGGTTTCTGGAAGACTGGTTGCCATGACTGTCGTTAGGAAGAAGGGCCATCTTGCTTTCTGGGGTGTTACCTTTATCTCTGGGAAGAAGCAGGTGGTACACAAGGGCCTGGAAACTAGTGTGCGCGCGCGCATGCATGTGTGTGTGACCTATAGGTAAGCCTGCCTACCAGCCCTTTTGTTGTAACAACGTGCTGCAACCTGTGCAACAGCTTTGCACCCAGAAACCCAGTCCAGATCTGCCCAGACATCACATGCATGTCCACGACCTAGTTAATGCATCACAGTCCTTGGCTTAGCCACAGAGAGAAGGGAGTTAATTTCCCCTCTCTTTGAACCAGGTACAACGTGAACCTCATCCTATCCAGTTTGAGTATGCTTAATGCTCTGTGTACTTTGTTTTCTGTTGATGTTTTAATTTCTGTAATGAACCTTTACTGGTACATTCATTCTCCCAGTAATGAGTATACATTTAATTAGTGACCATATTGAATAGGTTCTCCTGTTTTGAAGAAGTGTGTATAGTGTGAAAATACTTGGATCCCTTTGTGTCATGAAGTACTATTTCAAGGTGAGTGGGTCCCTTACTGAATGTGTGTCTAGAGAATGTGTGCAATATGGACATACAGCTGGAGGGGCATATTTGGTAATATAAAATTGTGTGTTCTTTTATACAACTGTGCAAAGTTGAAGATAAACAAATGTGTGCAGATCACCTTTCAGCAAAGATGTAAGTTAGAGTGACTGGTCTGTGGGATTACTTTTTATGCACATGTTCTTAGAGCAGTATTTTGAAGCAGGAAGAGTTACCCTTCTTGAGACTAATAAACTGTTCAGTGCAGTAACAGCAAATCACACCACACCTATACTTACCCTAGTTTCCAGATGGTGTCAATGCAGGCCAGATGTGCATTGCACTACATATGAGGTAGGTTAGGTATGCCTCACAGATGCCTTGTATCAGCATTAAGTTGCTCTTAACAATAAAGGCATGTCCATTATGGCTGTCTCAGCTCACCAAGCATGTCCTGGCTTTCCGATACTCTCCACAGAACAGACACCGCAGCAACATAGGAGCCACAGTTTTGATTTCTCATATTTGATCTCTCGGCAGCCTTATTGACAGGGGATCAGAACTCGCCCAATACATTTTGCTGCCTGCGATGAAGGACCAGGGTGTGTCCCCCATTCCACATTCAGAAGCCAACTGGACTAGCTGTTGAAGCCTTGTGAACAGGGCAGCCTGAGGGAGATGCCTCTTTCTGCCTTATGGTTTTCTTCCTTATACTTTTGCAGTATCACCAGTGTCCTCTGGGTAAATGTTTTCTCCCATGCTTTATTTTGTTCTCTTTTAGCATTTTAATTTCTGTGAACTCCTCAGAGGACTCTGGTTATTGGGAGTGATAGAAACTGAATGAGTATTCCTCAGACACCTGCTAGAGTAAATATTTAATATGGGGCACTGCCCAGCTTTCATTGTCTCCTCATGAAATGACAGTTCATTGCATTGACTTAATTCAGGTGGCCAGTCCAGACAGCTGACCACTGGATCACCAGCAGATTGTTGTAAAAAGCAACTTGTTCTAATGCAATTTAAGCTGTGGCTAGGGCATTATAGATCACCAGAGGAATGATAATCCATGCCTAGGCTCTGCTGGGAAAGTAGGTCTCTGAAAAGGCAGTCTGCAAGCCTGGAGCTGAGCACTCCTCCATATCTCTGAAACTTTGTATCTGGCCTGCGTATTGACCTAGTTAACTACTACTGGAGACTAAATGGCACTGGATGTGGTGGGCTTAGGTGGAATGTCAGTAGAGGTCTTGGATGGAAATATCAGAGATTGAGCCTTGAACCCTCTGTTTGCCAAGTGTGGCCCCTATCATGTAGTTATGGGCGTTTTCTGAATGTAACCATATATCTTCTCTGCACAGTGTTTCCTTCAGAATTATGTGTGTGGAGGTCTGCTGGCATTATCAGCAGAACAAGATCAGCTATGCAAATCAGATGGGGACATAGTACAATGGAAGAACAGAGGATTTGCATGACAAAAGTCCTAGGTTCCATACCCAGCATTTCCAAGTAGGGCTGGAAAAGGCCCCTCTTTGAAGTTTGGGGAGCATCTGCCAAGTCATTGTAGACAGTGTTGTGTTAAATGGACTGATGGCTTGGCATAGGGTGGCTTCCTATTTATTAACACTTTGTATTTGTACCCCACCTTTTTCTTTGTCAGGAATCCTGACTAGTTGCAAAATCCTCCTCTTCTCCTTTTTCTCCTGACAATAATCCTGCAAGGTAGGTTAGGCTGAGGCAATAACTGGCCCAAAGTCACCCAGTGAGCTTCATGGCTGAGTGGGGACAGAACCCTGATCTTCTGAGCTCAAGTTCAGCATTCTGACCATTTCACCATGTGGCCTCAGTGTTCCTAGGATGCATGTTCGCTGAGGAAGGAGTCATACTAAGTTCAGTGGGGCTTCCTCCCGGCTAAGGGTAGAGAGGTGACGCTTAGGTGTGCTTCAACGCAAGTGTGATTGCAGCCTTAGTTAAGCACATCAAAAATCTTTTGGCTCCTGCTGGTGAAGTCACTTGCAGAGTCATATAATTAGCTACAGGTAAACTCAGACTTTTCGTTGTTTGGTGTCTTTCCCAGGAATGGGGTTATGTCTCCACTCCTTTCCTTTGTAGGGAAAAGTCCTGTCTATAAGAAGTAACTTTGCTACTGGAGAGCGAGCACTCCCTCCCTCCTTGTGTGTGTGTGTGTAATGAAATGGAGGTAGAGCTCCCTCCCCCTTCCTTTCTCATGTCAAAAGATCAGAGAGGTCAGGTCTGGACATGCTAAACCAGACGATCTCTTTATAAAAGTTGCTTTGAGTGAAACAAACAGGCGGTCGGTTTGGCCACTGTGCATTATGTAACTAGTGCACTGGCTGCAGAAGCTGGATGACTGACACGGCGAAATTCCTAGCGGAGGGGGAAGGGTGCTGCCCTGAAGTCACTACGATTACCATCTCCGTTCCAACAAACCTAAAGGGAAAGTGGCTACAGATCAAGCAAAACAAAATGGAGACAACCATTAAAAGAAGGGGAGGAAAACAAAGTAAAACTCGGACAACTCCAACGTATAGCGCAGAAGCACATGCAATTTTTTTCTTTGGTGAAATGGCATGAACCCAGCCCTTGCATCTGAGTAAGAGCCGGGAGTGCATGCCATTTGGGGAGAGAAAAGCTGTCACAGCAATGAAAGCAGACAATGCACGAGGTACGCGTTACCGTACAAACGCGCGCGCATGCTGTTCGTCCCTATTTCTTTTCAGGGGGAAAAAGACCCAAACTACTACGAAAACTCTTTTAACTCCCCACTAACTGCTTAACCTAATTTTGAGTGTCGATTGTCCCTTTGCAATGTTGCTGCCCCTTTAAGACCTGCTCTCTGAACAGTTGCACAGAAAGGGAGTGACCTCTGGGCTTTGACAGCTCCCCTAATAACTAGCAGAACCCTGGCTCCTCCTGCAGCACTTGATTGGACAGCGGGCCGGTATCCACTTTCCCGATTGGCCGGCCGCTTCCCCTGAGCGAACCTTTAGAACTCTGAGACACAATATTCTGTTACATTGTAGCAAAATGGCGACTGTCATTCACAACCCCCTGAAAGCGTAAGTAGGAATCAAAAATGTACATATTCCGCGTGGTTTAAATATGAAAAAGGGCGCCTTTCCGATGCATGCTGCTAGGCTGAACCTGATGTTTCCAGGCTCCCAGCTGATCTTCCCTCCTTCCCTCTTTTCTTTCCGATCTCCTCATTTTTTGTGCAACACACACAAGTCTCGCTCTCGGAAATTAATAGGAAGAAATTGTTATATTTGCGTTCTGCTTAATTGATGGAATATGATGAAAAGAAAGCAGAGTTCTGGGCTCTGAGAAGGGACCGACGCTGCTCGCAGCTCTCGGGGCTTCTGGGCTCCTGGAAACTGCAAGATTTTGACGGATCCCCGAAGGGGTTCTTGCACTTGACAGAGTCTTGTGCGTGGCGTCCGGGTTGCCTTCCACCGCCGCCGCCGTCAGCGCAGCGCCCGGCGGAGGAGGTTCGGTAGTGGAGACCCGGTGCATAATAACCGGCTCGGCAGGCACTCATTTTGCAGTTTCGGAGTTTTAACAAATCCTCCAGTAGTTGCGAATGACTTGGAGCTGCGGGAGGAAATGACTTTGTTTCTTCGGGGATTTGCTGGTTGGTGTTGGCAAAGGGGGCAGCACGGATCTTTTCATGGAAGTACAGTAGGGGCACATTAGCTATTACACTTGCGTGTGCGCTCGCGCGCGCGTGTGCGTGTATGTGTGGGAGAAAGAGAAAAATTGAGCGACTTGTACTAGATGAATGACTCTGGTTCGTGCAGAGCGTTGCTTTTAATAAAGCACAGGAAGTCCGGGGATCTGCTTTGCGTACCGTTCGATTTTCGCTTTCAGAAGTAGGTGATGCCACCGGCGGACTTAGGTTGCGTTTAGACGCTGCGAGGACCAAATGCCGCGGGGTAGGCTGCAACTGAGGGCCGAAACGGGCTGTTCTCCAGAAGTCAGCCAGCCAGCCAGCCGGCCCGAGTGGTGCGGGACTGGATCGGGAGTCAGCCGTACGCTGGACGAGGGAGACTTTCCTACCCTGGTGATTAAAGGCGGGCACTTCGTCTTTCCTCGGATGCTCCCATATGTTCCTTGCGGTTTGCAGCACACGCAGCCTGCTAATCCCTAAACGAGTTGGGGGAGAGTGGGATTTGGTGGTGCGTCTCCTCCCTCCCCACCCCTTCAACCTTTTAAATATTACTTTTGCACGGAGGGGGCGGTGCTCGGGACGAGCGAAGGGAAGTCGAAGCGGTGACTCTGGAGTAGTGGAATCCGTCGGGGGTTCCTCATTGCATCCAGCAGGTCTTTCGTGGGATGAAGTTCTTGAGCCGGTGCAGTTCCGGGCTGAGCTCTCGCTCAGTCTTCTGACCCGAGTTGGCCAAACACTTTGCTTAGCGCTGAAGGGAATGGATCCGGAATAAGCAGGAGAAAGAGGCTTTGGGTCGGGATTGGGGGTGGATGGGAAGGAAACGCAAAGAAAACAATCTTCCTTAGGAACTGATATCACGACACACGCTCCCACCCGCACTCTGGAATAAAAAACTCCCCTTGTTGAATTCTAAACATGATCCAGCTGAGATTCTCCGGAGCATTTCTGTATGGGGAGAGGGATGTGCGCGGAGGGTCGCCGAGAACACATGTGCTCCAGCTCATGCAATAAGCAGCTTCCCACCCATTTAAAATCTTTTATTTCTCAGATCCATATCTCGACCTTCCCGGAGGAAGGTCGGGGAGGCACATGGGGATGTATAGTACCTTCAGATCCTCACAACGCATCTGCGAGGTAGGTAAAGGCAGAGCAGTCGGGGAGCTCCGCGTCTATGGCGTGATTCAGCCCAAGCCTCCCTGGGACGAGATCCAACACCCTGTGCGCTGAAACTCATTATGTGGAAGACGTGGGGATGGAGCGAGAGAGCGTTCCTGGCACGTTTGGTGGGGTGATGGATCTCCTCCGCTCGCTGGCTCGCTCGCTCGCTCTCCCGCTCTCCGGGGAAATGCTTTTTCCCGGAGCGGTTCCGTGCCAGGTAATCGCGTTCCCGGCACAGTCCCTGCACCTGAGCAAGGCGGCGCGGCAGCTCTGCCAGTGCATCGATCCGCCGGGCGTGCAGCGTTACCCCCGTGTCGCACGTTTACTCAGAAGTAAGCCGCACTGCCTTGCGTGGGATTTACCCCCTCCCCGAGGAGCGCCAGTGGGCTTGCAGCCACAGTCACGCAAAAATAATGTTTCTGATCTCTCTCTACCGGACCCCCACCCCCTCCGGAAAGAAAAAGAAATGAAAAGCGGCCGAGTGGAAGTTTCTTTCTGGGAAAGTCACTTCCGCTCGCCGTCAAGATGAGCTTCCTCAAAGGAATGGCAATATTTTCCTGGTGAGCCTGGGAGGGAGGCGTGGAATGGGTGGATCCGGAATCGATTCTTACTTACATCATGGGTGCAAATGAAGCGTGTATCCATTGAGGTCTCAGAACTGTTAAACCAGTACCGCGCAAGGGGGGGTGTAGTTGGGGGCCGACCAAAAGGGCGGGGGCGAGGGGAGGCGAGGCGATCTGCTCCACTCCTAATGCTACGTGATTAAATTTATTTGCACCGGGAACATTATGCATCAATCATTTCCCCCATCTCCACATGACCGACCCGTAGCCCTTTGCTGCCAGTCGCTTAATTCATCTTGTGGCCGAGAGTTCTTCCCCCTGAAATCTTCAAGGAGCGGAATCAAGCTTTTAATATAATTAGCCCTCCTTTCTCCTCCTCTCGCCCCCTCCCCCCCGCAGCGAGGGGGGTGAGAAGAGAGGAAACAATAGACCTCAAGCGCACCAAAGATGCTTTCCTAGCCATGGTTTGCGCTGGAGGTTGTGGGAGGGACCGGGACGACTGTTTTGGCTGGCTTTGTGCCCATTCACAAGTTGTTGTGTGTTCCCTTTTAAAAAAAGAACATTTATAGCTTGTTAAAAGTTGCTGATCAGGAAAACGATGAAAATATATCACGGGAGTTAATGAGGGCAAAAACTGTTAAGACTCATCATGGGGAGGGGATGGGGAGATGGAGCGCGGTGCTTCAGCCCCATGTGTCCTTCCTGACAATGAAAGAGCTGAATGACATTTGCATTTTCCCTGTCTGCATTTTGATTGTGTCTCAAAAATTAAAAAGATACAAAAATGACGCTCCCCCTCATCTCTGCTCCAGCCACCGCAGAAAGTGGCTGCACAAAGGTTTCCCCCTCAGTGACTGAGAATCACTGCAATTGGGATCTCCAGACCTAAATCAGGTGGTGTCATTAAACTCTTTGTGTTTTTGTTGGGTTGGTTGGGTGGACAATAATCCCTTTATTTTCCACTATATGCAGACATATGTAGCTCTCCTAATTCCCTAGATTAATTCCATGTGGGGATGCTTCATTTCCAATCCCACTGAATAGGCAGAAGAAACACTTTGAAGTACCCAACTGGAGGCTGGTGGGGCCTTTGTTAATTTCCCACTGATCTCCTCCTCCTCCTCCTCGCGGGATCGTTTTGGGGTGTCTCTGGGGTGCTTCTCTAGTTCCCTCTCTTCCTCTCTCCCTTCTGGGATTCAGCCAGTGCTGTGACTGACCATTGTGTTGTTCCTGCCAATGAACACCTTGTTTGCCAACATAGTGTTAAAGGCAGAAAGCATCAAAAGGCTGACTGGAGGAGGTGATGAGGCCAGGAGGAACCCGACAGCAAGCGGCATGGGCAAATGTGCATCCTAAAAATGGCCTGCCCGCCTATCTGAAATAGGTTGTGACATTGTGCTTTGTGGTGCATTTTGGGGGGTGGGGGCGGAGATGGTAGAATGGGAGCCCGTAATTATGTTTCCCCCTCCCTTGCCTGCTCCCCTGAATCTTCCTTAACCCTTCTTTGCCTTTCTTCTTCTTTTTTCTGGAACGGCATTTGATCATGAAAAGGAAGCAAGAGCGAGCTGAACAAAACTTGTGCCGGAGCAGGATAAAGCAGCCTCAAGCAATGGAGAGCTTTTATACATTTGTGTTGGAAACCCATTCGAGTCTATTTGTAGTAGTGCGCTCACTCCACACTTTGTTCATCTGTTTTCTCTCTGTCTCCTTGTCTCTGTTCTCTGTACCTTTTCTGTTCTAAGACACCACCTTGATGACTTTTTAACAAATAAGACAATATGTAAATGTCACTGATCCATGCACTCAGGGCTCAGTTCCATGCATGTTTAGACAGACAAAGTCCTACAACTCCCAGCACTCTTCAGCCAGCCATGCAATTGAAAGCATAGAAGCTGCCCCGCCCCGCCCCGCCCCGCCCCGCCCTAGCAGGCACCCTAAATGCAAAGAAATGATCTCTTCCCACTCCTTGCAGTGCATCCTGGACTGTGCTCTTCCTCTTTTGGGCTTCTTGAGGGATATGCACCCTGACCTCCAGGTCCTGAGAGATAACATTTCCCATTCCACTATCCTGGGACTCATTGGATTACTCACTTGCTCCTTCTTTCCAGCCTGGCATTCCTCCATAACCTCTTATGGTTCCTTTGCTGGAGGTACATGCACCAAAATGCTGCTGGGAAAAGATTAAGGACCTTCTGCTAGTGGTGCTCAATGCCTTTCACTGCTCAAGCCCAACTGTGGGTCTTTTATTATGCAATCACTCTGCCTCGTTCACAGAAATCTACAGAGGAGAGTGTGTGACTAGTTCATTTTCCTTCTCACCTGGTCTGCATTCTGCATCTACTGAGCATGGGCAGTCTGTGTATTAAGCATTCAGCCCCCATTAAGTGGTTTCCCCAGATGTTTTTCACATCTGCACAGTGTGGAATTCCTCCAAGTTTGATGCTTCCCTCTTTTTTATGGTTGCTTTGGCTACACTCGGAGAACTGAGATTGCTATTGCTATAAACAAGTTGGACCTACAACCAAATGTTGCAGTGTGGGCTGCTTCCGTTCAGGATTCCAACCATTTCATTCCTTTCTTCCTCTGAATTTTTCATCTTTCTGCCCAAGTCAGTCAACGTTCTATGGCCACTGAGCATGCTTAGTTCTCATCGGACTGTTTAATGTTCCCT